AGTTTGTGTTCTGAAAAACTTCTGTGCTTTAACGGAATTCCATCTTTGTCTGCTCATTGTCTATGTTTCACAGGCAAACAGTTGTACAGTCTGTGTATAGGACATTGCACTCTTTATCTCTTTCCAGCTGAATCTTTTTGATGTACTGATATTCAATAAGCTATTCATGATGCCATGTTTTTTTTTTGGGAAGATATTCTCCCATACGATCTGTGACTTTCGACCTGGCACCTCCGTCCAGACTTCGTCAACATATGTTCAAACATTTTGGTATAGGAGACACGGAAACGTGTCCCTGCAGCTTGGTGCCAGAAAATGCTGAGAATGTACTCCAACACTGTCAACTCTATGCTGCCAGCATAGACACAATCTGGCCTGTTCCAACCACAATGAAGACAAAGCTATATGGTACAAAAAGAGATATGGACTGCACAGTAGCTTTTATAAAGGCTATCGGCCGCCTGATATAAGTTTTCTGACAGAAAAATCGATGAATAATCTGTTTTTTTTTTACCGGTATGTTTTGAATCTTCCAGAGGGCAACTTTTTCTGCATTCCTTTTTTTTTCCTTCTTAGCATTCACCGGTTGTAAGCTGTGGCGTAAGAGACAGAATTATGATTCTAACCACTGTGGCTCTGGGGTCGAGCCCGCCTAGTAAAAATTGGTACTAGACAATTATTAGAAGTTTCAGGAAAGGAAATGCAACAAAGATGGAATTTAGCACCCCCCACCTTGTTTGTTGTGCAAAATATGTGAAGGCTTAACCCTACCAGACCTGAAGCCCTAAACCTATCGGTCCCCTATACCTGAGCTCCTGGGCATTAACACGAAAAAACAACATGAAATACAAAAATATTCGTTACATGCAAACAAGTGGCTAGAATAAGATGAAACCTGGAGACATTGTAGAAAATAGGTTTACCTTTTATCTAGCGCCAATATTCCACCTTTGTGTGCCAATCCACTCAGGAGGATCAAGATTGTTTCACAAATGGAGTACCAGATGTTGCTGTTTGAGGGACACGCCCCCTTCTCTTACTCCCGATCTATTTCTAGATTTATAATTTTCAAGATTCTCCTCATTATTCGAGCTGAGTGTGTCACTTCAACTGTGAACGTATTCTTCACGAAATTATGCCTCCGCAGAGTCTGAATAAACCAAAGTATCGATCACCTGTTGGACTGTGAAAAGCCTAGACCTACTTTACTTTCCTGTCGAAGTGCTTGGTTCATCAGCCGCTCGTTTTATTGCGAATTTTCATAATTTTTTCACGTAAAACAACAAATTTTATCTAAACACACGAGGGCGGACATCTAGAAGACTATCCATGAAGTCTGATTACGATTGGCTAGTTATTTTTAGTTTGTGACGCATCTTTTTCATGCACTACGCAAATAGCCGAAAATTAGGGACAGCGGTATAGCATCCGGTTAAGAATTTCCTGAAAAATCGGGCCAGTGGTCTGGTAGGGTAATTAACATTTCACACCTCAGCAGCAGTAAGTGCTGTTTCCTGCGCAGGTTCCAGGGCCCCATTGGGCCATTTTTCTTGCTGGGAAAGAAAAATAGACCCACTGTCTCCCTAACAAACATGTTGTAAAGTCAGCTAACTAAACATTCATCCTTTAAAATTGGAGTGTATCAGCCTGAGATGCAAGGAGCCAGCAGTCTGCATATGTGAAGCCAGATCTGTGAATGGATGTGCAGGTGAATTTCAAGTTCAAGAACAAAGTCCAGAAGTGGACAAACAACCATAAATACCTGCCAGAGGTTACAGCCAGCAAATGCTAAGGAAGGCAGGAAAGAATTGCTGTGAGACTTCCTTTAACTATTCTACCTGGGGCTTAGTGGTGCCAGGTATTGGTGATACCTCTGGTGTTGGAACTTGTCATGGTCTTTTCAGGGCACCTAACCTGTCTTTGGACTAATTCTGGCATCCTGTAACACCTTGTAAGGGGTCAGCATGTGGTGGCGTCCACTCCCAGACAGCAGCTTTGACAGGCCGGTTAAACTTAGTGAAGGTATCCGAATGGTTAGTAGCCTTTGATGAGTCAGGATCTGCCTGTCCAAGCATGTGAAGACGGGACTCAGCTGAATGTGCGGAGGAAATGAATGCTTGGTTCAACAAATCTGATAGCGAGTACCAGAACACACTGTGGAGCACAAAGAGCAAGGTGAGCCCCAAATAGCATTCTGGTCATCTACTCACCTGACTTCCTCTCCAGTCATCTCAACTTGTCCTGCCACTGGGTCAAGATGAACACAAGCGAGATAATGAGGTCGACGACATTCTCCAACTCTTCCTCACGTAGAACCAATTCGTTGCGTAAGTCCCTCTTTCCTTTATTCATACAGCAATAGTTTCGTGACAAATGAAAGAAAGCTTGGTCTTCATCACTTTTAATGGACAAACATCATCATCATCTGTTTTACCATTATTTAATGAAATATTTACCAGAAATGTTTATGACATTGCCACTGTTTTCAACATTACAGGCTGTTAGTGAATATGCGATTCTAGAAGCCAGACCTACAGGAGCAAAGGAATCGGACAGTAAACTTTCTGTCTGTGTAGCTTTCAATAGCCAGTATCAGAGACTTCCTACAGTTGTCAGACAGGAGCACGTCCATCACCTGGTGAATCTCTCTCACGTTCAAGGCTGCACATCAAAGGATTTTACTGATTCCCCCATCCCACTGGGAAACACTATGGTTGCAGTTGCCAGGGGAAGTTGTACTTTTATACAAAAGGCTTCTATGGTACAAAGTTTCAATGCATCTGCAGTTTTGGTAGTTGATTACCCAAATACAACTTTTCCAACATTTCCTGGAGGAAATGCGTCAGACTTTAAAAGCCTCACCGTTATTTTGGCCACTATTGCATTGGAGGACTTCAAAGCAGTGATCAGCCTGTCGAAATCAGTAGAGGCAACTCTCTATGTTCCGGCAAACCCGCTATGGGATGCAAATATGATCCTCATGATCGTTCTGTCAACAGTCTTGGTTATGACCGGATCCGCATGGTCTGCTTATGATGTCTGGCAGTTCCCGAAACGTTCCAGAAGAAAACCCTTGAAGTCTTGTGATTCTGAAGACAGCGAGGAGGAAGACAGACCTCTAGTGAATGAGAATGAAATTACAGTCTTTACCGTCGTGATCTGGTTTGTCCTGATCTGCGTCATGATCCTGCTGCTCTATTTCTTCTATGACTACATGGTGTACTTTTTCATTGCTGTCTTCTGCATCTCGGGCACCTACAGTTTATACCACTGCCTACTGCCCCTGTGGTCGTGGTGCCTGCCAGTGACCTATGACATCCCTGTGGACAAGCTGCCCTGTATCAGCACTAAGGTATTAATTACTATTGTGTGATGTGGTAAAAATCTACTACTATTGTATAAGATGCACACTGTTTTTAGACCTTATATTTTTGGAAAATAAGTACTTATTATACGGCAGTGAGGGTTTTAGAGAAAACAAATGTTGGGCCAAAAGAGGCAGATACCGTAGCCTATCAGTCAGTCACACCACAACATACCAGCCGCCATTTTTCCCCCGGCTGGTTAAACAGTTTAGAACTCAGGGCTATCATGTGTAGACCTGCATTCGAATCCTTGATGAGGTTGGGGAATTGTGTGTGTGTGTGTGTGGTTAGGGCAAAAATAAAATTCTGCACAGTCCTCAGTGACGGCACTAGCCTTGCGGCCCTAAAGACTTCCCTGCTTACACTACAAAAGTGGTAAAAACAGGCAGGAATAGTTTTAAAAAAAAAAACTCATTTAGGGAACAGGACACCACAGTATAAGCCCAGATTTTTTTTTTCAAGTCCGCAGTGAAGGTTAGCTGAGGTGCATTGCATCCACTGCTGCCTTTGGAAATATAACTTGGTATAGCCTGTGTCTCTTTCACTGTTGGAGCTCCCTCACCACTTGTCTGAAAACTGCGACAGCTGCCTTTTTCTAAACCACCAACTGGGAAAATTTAACCCTGGTTTGTTGAGCAGGATTGTGAAATGGTTTAATAGCCTTTTAGCTATAGGCTAACTTTGGCCCGCAGAGGCCTAGCAAGTGGCCCATGGTTCATTGCAAGTTGTATTGTATTAATGATCTTTCTGTGCTGGAGGCTCGGGCCCCTGATGGTCCCCATTTTCACTATTCTGGCCCCTGAGTAAACTTAGTTAAATAGCCTTGCTATAGAGCAACACACTGGCTGTGTATGGAGCAGCTAATGAATGAATTGTATTTTGTTAGTGCAGAGTGAGTTAAATCTGCTGCAGTTGCAGTAAAGGTCTTTTAACTCAGTGGTCATTTTAGCACATGTTAGTTACATAATGTCTCATCCTACTTGAGTCATCATAGTCGGCAGAGAATGGTGCAGATTGGGGTGGGAGGAGAGGAGGCAGGGGATCTGGACAACACTTGGAACTCAGGGGAAAGGCAAGACAGACATACAGTAAGACTGCTTCTGGTACTGGGAGAATTGGAACTCTCTGCAGGTTGCTGAAGATGTGGACAGAGTACTCATGGGAATATCCTGAGTGCTGTGATGTTGGTTCTTAGCTCAGTTCAACTCATTTACTACTTACTTACTACTACTTAGTCGATTTTCAGTTTAACTCATTTACTCCTTACTACTACTTAGTTGATTCTCAGTTTAACTCATTTACTACTTACTACTACTTAGTTGATTTTCAGTTTAGCTCATTTACTACTTACTACTACTTAGTTGATTCTCTTCTACCTTGGGGTGTAGAGGTTTGCCAGAGAGATCACCAGACTTCTCTGTCAGCAGTTTTCTTTTTTGCTTTGTTCCATTCCAGTCCTCTGTCAGTCAGGGACTGTTGGATGTTACCTTCCCACCGGACTGTGGGATGCCTAGGCGGTCTGGTTCCCGGCCTGCCATGCCTGTCATGGTAGTTGATTCACTCTCATTCTGCTTACATGTCCAAACCATTGTAACTGACTGATCCCAATTCAGCTCATCCTGCTCATAATGCTTAATGTCTGTAATTTTGAAGTTGCCGTTTTACCTGAGTATAATGTTAACTTATTTCTTTCAGGTGAAACTGAGAAGTTTCATACTGCTTCTACTTTGTGCAACCCTCGGCATATATTGGGCCATCCAGCGACACTCAAGATATGCCTGGATTATCCAAGACTTACTGGGAGCAACGTTTTCTATTTTCTTCATGCACACCTTACGTTTGCCAAACCTGAAGATTATTGCTATCCTGCTGATTCTGTTACTAGTCTACGATGTCTTCTTTGTCTTCATCACTCCTCATTTCACCCACGACGGCAACAGCATCATGGAATCTGTAGCCACAGGAGGCAAAGGCCACTCTAAAGAATCACTACCAATGGTTTTCTTACTGCCCACGCTGTCTGACTTCCCGTTGAGACGGTGTATGGACCGGGAATTTTCTCTTCTGGGTTTCGGGGATGTGATCATCCCAGGGCTGCTTGTGTCATACAATGCTGTGTTTGATGTGAAAACTGGCAACAAAATGGTTTACTTCATAAGTTCCTCTCTGGGCTATTTTATTGGCATGATTGTGTGTATCATTTCCCTGATCTACATGAACTCAGGACAGCCGGCTCTCTTGTACTTGGTACCAGGCACTCTCTTCACTACACTTGTTGTGGCTCTTATACGTAAGGAGTTCTTGGCTTTGTTCTTTGGGCTGCACAAGCAGAAGTCTGAAAAGGCTGAACCTGTTGAGTCCCAGGGAAGAGATAGCGAGGAGGGAGATGCAGTCAATGATTGCACTGATGAAGAAGAGAGGAACTTAATCAAGTGATTGTTCCCCAAGAACAAGAGTAATTACCCCCCCCCCCCCCCACCCTTTTCCCCACCCCTAAATGATTGTCCCGAAAAGTAATTTTCATCACAAGTGATTGCCTCCTCCTCCCCCCCTCCCCCCAATGAATTGTCACCAAAAGTAATTGTTGTCAGAAATGATTGTCCAAAACAAATGGTTCGTTCATAAAAGGATTCTGTTAGATTATATAACTGATACGTACAAAATGTATTTGATTTGGGGCACTGCAAATTCTCATGTTATTTTCATAGTTAGATTTTATGGATTTACAGAAGCAAATTTTTCCATCTCTGTTGGTTACTCTTAGAAAGCATGTCTGAAAAGCAGCAAACATCCTGCTAGAAGGTTAGTTCCTTTGGCAGTTTTGCCTGATGGCATCACTTGTCCCATCTTTAGCATGGTTAAGTTAGTTGGGTATTCTTTACAAGATGTTCTAGAATCAACCCCATCATATTTTTTTTTTGTTGCTGTTGTGGTTTTTCTAGGCAAATTTTACATTCAGTAGTTTGCCATTGCTTCTGAACGGTCAGCTCTTGGTACCACTGTCGAAACCACGCAAGCAAGCTGTCCGCAGCTGAGATCGAACCCGGCACCCTGGTATTAAGAAGCGGGTTCACAACGCCTAGGACGCAGACGCGGACCTAGCATGGTACTTATGATAAAATGAATCCCGTAGAACAGGAAGCAACATGGGTAGGACATTCTTAAGGTTTTATATTTATTGGCTATTGATTTAGGATATGGAGGAGAATCTGTCTTTCATATGCCGTCTTATCCTTCTAGTTCAGAGTAAAGATGTTTTTCACAGCTGATTATTGTGTAACATTTCCATGTCATGGTTTCTCATCAGTCACTATAGCCATTGATATCGGCTTAACCAGCATAGTGTGCACACAGAAATGTAGTTTACTTTCTTGAGCAGAAGGGAAATGAAAATAAATATTTGAATTAACTAAAAATTATAAGAGAGAAAATTAATATACATAGATGGCATGGAGAGTTAATGTAGATAGATGGTGTGGAGAGGTAAGTGCATGGAAGGCGTGACAAAGTGAAGAGATAATCTACGCAGATGGCATGGAAAAGTAAAAAGAAAATGAACTCAGTGGGCATAGAAAAGTACAGAAATAATATACTTAGATGACATGAAAAAGGCAAGAGATAATGTACTCAATTGGCATGGAAAGGTGAAGAGATAATGTACTCATTTGGCATGGAAAAGTGAAGGGATAATGTACTAATTTGGCATGGAGAAGTAAATAAATAATATATTCAGATGACATTGAAAAATGAAGAGATAATGTATTTAAATGGTATGGAGAAGCGAAGAGATAATATCTCAGATGGCATGGAGAAGTGAAGAGATAATGTACACAAATGGCATGAAGAAGTGAAGCGATAATGTACACAGATGGCATGAAGAGATAATGTACACAAATGACCTGGAAGAGTGAAGAGATGCTGTACACAAATGAAATGGAAGAGTGATGTACACAAATGACATGGAAGAGTGAAGAAATTCTGTACACAAATGACATGGAAGAGTGAAGAGATAATGTACACAAATGACCCAGAAGAGTGAAGAGATGCTGTACACAAATGAAATGGAAGAGTGAAGAGATTATGTACACAGATGACATGGAGAAGTTAAGAGATAATGTTCGTGAATAGCACAATGAAGATAACACGTGTATTTTTTTTTTTTAAATCAAATCTGCATTTGAAAGTTCTGTTGTCATGCATAATTGTCATTATTGTTTACATTCTCAAAGAGACAAATCATCCAGTTGCTGATTAAATTTACCCTATTTCTCAGTGTCTAAGACGGCCCATAGTGTTTAGCCCAAAATTAAGAAATGGATGTTTTAAACAAATTCCATATATAAGACATTTGACAAATTTGGAATAACACATAATCTTTTTAGTCCATGCTGCGCGGTGTTGGTAGTCATGTCTGTCCACAGCCTTGTGTCTCATGTACTTTCACTTAACTCTGACTCAGATAATCATCCATGCCATGATGTCAGACTGTCCAGCATCTGTTCTCTCGGTCTCCCTTTGCTTCTCCTCCCCTCCAACTTTCCTACTGTCACTATGTACTCCAGTGTCTTCCTTCTTATCATATGACCAGAGCATGTAGATTGTCTTCTGATGTGGACAGTCAGTACTCTCCATGGGTCAGTTTCTTTGAACACATCCTCATTACTCTTTTCATCTGTCCAGGCATTCATCTATGAAACCACATCTCCGCAACTTCCAAATAATTTTTCACTAATCATCCAACCGTCAGTGTTTCACTTCGATATATCAAGAGAGGATTTTTATAGCTTTTAAGAATTCTCTTTCTCATCACGTCAAATACACAGAAAAATATGGTACATTCATTTGCTGTGAATAATTGGTTAATTAGACCTTTTTTTTAAAATTATGTAATCAGGTGGATATTGCACTTGCTGAGGCTGAATTATTGTTTTCTGACCAGTAGTGCTCAGGGGTTGAACTGGCCGCCTTATAAAACTGGGTACAAGACAATTTTCAGGGCATCTTGTCCAGCACAGGACTGTAGGTTGGTGTAGCATTGGTAGCCCAATATAACTCCTAATGTACTAATGTGAATGTACTAATCACTGCAAAGTTATAGGTACTGAGCACTGTCAGTAAATAAGAAATTCCCGACATGAAAGGTTTATGTGGAAAGCTTAACTCTTTGAGTCCCAGGGGGTTTAGCATCACAGGCCCAAGGGGTAATCAAAAGAGACGTAAAATCGGCGCATCATGCGTTCATTGGGCCTCTAGGTAGGAATCTATGAACGTATGATGTGCTCCTTGGGACTCAAAGAGTTAAAGAGCTCAACAACAAATAGTAATTTAATGTCAACTTTATTGAAATATCAAAAAATAAATTTAATGTCAGATCACCAAGAAAATTGGCTGGAAACCAGATTTCCTCCCCAAGACTTGCTTTATCTGCTCTTTGGAGAGCAACAGTGTATTGTATTCAGACTAAGGACATGGGCACAAAAGACAAAGCTGTATGGAAGACTGGGAGGTTTGGAGTGCACAATAGCTGTTGTCAAGGCTACTGGCCTCCTGAAATGTTTTTCTGATAAAGCAATTGAAGAAGAAGATGATGATGAAAGATCACCAATGTCAGCACATTATCGATCTAAAGGAGAAGAAGATGGCTCAAGTAGATACTGCATGAGAAGCTGTGAGTGGTTAGGACTTCACATATGCTAGGGGATTTGCCTTACCAGATGAGATGATGAGCTATCTTCTGTGCCATGTTTCTTTCCTGGAGAAAAATCACCAAACCAGGCACCTGAATAAGAAGAAACAAAATAGGATTAGTCTAAGAACAAAACAAACCAGGCATCTGAAAAAGAAGAAGCAGAATAAAATTAGTCTGAGAACAAAACAAACCAGGCACCTGAATAAGAAGAAGCAGAACAGGATTAGTCTGAAAGCAAAACAAACCAGGCACCTGAATAAGAAGAAGCAGAAAAGGATTAGTCTGAGAGCAAAACAAACCAGGCACCCGAATAAGAAAAAGCAAAACAGGATTTGTCTGAGAGCAAAACAAACAGGCACCTGAATAAGAAGAAGCAGAACAGGATTAGTCTGAGAGCAAAACAAACCAGGCACCTGAATAAGAAGACCCAGAACAGGATTAGTCTGAGAGCAAACCTGCCATGAGAAGCTGTGATTTGTTTAGACTTCCATGCACGATAGCTTTCATAAAGGTAACCGCCCTCCTGATATAAGTTTTCTGACAGAAGAATATCACATATACTAGGTGATAGCATTATATGATGAGGTTACCAGCAGCCTTCTATGCTACCTTTTCTTCCCAGAGAAATTGTGTGCCCATTTCGCTGGGCAGTTTTAATACCAACACTATTTGCAATTCTAATGAGATTTACATTTCAAAGCCCCATCTGGTGAGCAACCAGCACAGAAGGGTTTGTATGGTCAAGATTATGGCTGCTGTCTTTAGTGTAAGTAAAGAACCCTTTTCATGCCTTGAGCGCATCGAGCATAGAGTGCCAGGTCTCTCTGTATTTGTATACATCAGTCTCAGCATTTGGTGGAGGATGTGGTCAACATCACCATGGCTGCCTTTACTTCCACTGACATTACCTGGTACCAGTTTTAAGCTGGGTCAACTTGGAAGTCAGAGTGCTTTTGAAAAAAAATCTTTAATGTGGAGATGCACCCTTGACATTCTGGCCAGCAGGAGAATGTCTAGCCTGTATGCTACTGCGGCTACTTAAAGGGGAGAAAATGAGATTGGTATAAGCCCTTCTGGGGGTAATATTTAAGTGCAGGGTTGGAAGGAAAGTTTTAAATCAGTCTTTTTCTGGTATGCTTTAGTGCATTAGTTATACTTTGGTACAGGTTACACCAGTTAACTCCTATGAATGGGTCAGATCAATGTGCTAAGATGTCAATACAGATAAATAACAGGGTTGAGGAGGAAATTTGTTACACCATTCTCTCCATGGTATACTTTAGTACAGGTTGAGAGAAAAGTCATTATGCTAGTCTGTCTCTGATATACTTTAGTACAGGTTTGTGAGGAAAGTTATTACACCAACCTCTCTCCTAAACATTTAGTGCAAGGTTGGGAAGAAAGTTGTTAAACTAGCCTTTCTCCGATGTGCTGTAGTACAGGGTTGGGAGGGAAGTCATTCCACCCGCCTCACTTTAATACACTCAATCCTGTTTCATGACTCAGGTGTCATGAAATTCACTGCATCAGACTTTAGAGTGAAAACAGTCTTCCGGATTATTGACAGCCAAACAGCCGACCACCATTCTGCCAAGCAAGTGTACTATCTACTCTGCCAGCACAACAAACTTCTGAGGGCTGTATAAAGTTATTTAATTCATTTAAAATGTCGGTAGTTTTGTTTTATATATATGTGTGTATTTCAATGTTATATTGTCGGTAATCAATGTTTTTGGTGTTGTGTCGT